AAAAAAAAAAAAAAAGGATTACACATTCTTAAGGATTCATAGCAAATTCTCAAGGACAGATCATTTGTTTGAACATAAAACAAGACTTAATAAATTTAAAAGAATTGAAATCACACAAAGCATGTACTCTGCCCACAATGAAATAAAATTAGAAATCAATAACAGAAAAAAATCTGAAAAATTCACAAAAATGTGAAAATTAAACAACACACTTCTTTTTTTTTTTTTTTTTGAGTTGGAGTCTCACTCTGTCACCCAGACCGGAGTGCAGTGGCTGCTCCCAGCCAGCGCAACCTCGACCTGCTGGGCTCCGGTGATCCTTCCGCCTCAGCCTTCCAAGCAGCCGGAATTACAGGCATGCGCTACCACACCCGGCTGATTTTTTGATTTATTGTAGAGATGAGGTCTCGCTGCCCAGGCGGGTCTCGAACCTGCGGGGCTCAGGCAATCCACTCACCTCAGCCTCCCAAAGGTGCAGGATTACAGGCTGAGTTACCGAGCCCAGCTTAAACAACACACTTCTAAGCAGTGGGTCAAAGATGAAATAATAGGAAAATTAAATAACACTTTGAGATGAATGAAAATGAAGATCCAACATACCAAAGCCTAAAGAATGCAGCTAAAGTAATGCTTAGAGGAAAACGTATGGCTGCAAATGCCTACAATAAAAAAGATGACATGGGAGTTCTCAGAGCAGTAAAAAAAAAAAAGTAAAAATAAAAATAAACAAATAAATAAAAATCTCAAATAAATTACCTAAACTTCCACCTAAGAGGAAACTAAATCCAAAGCAAGCAGAAGGAAATAAATAAAAAAGATTAAAGCAAAACTTAATGGAGGATAGAATAATAGAGAAAAAGCACAGAACCAAACATTGGTTCCTTGAAAAAAAATCAACAAAATTAACAAACCTTTAGTTAGCCTGACCAATAAAAAACAAAGACTCAAATTACTAAAATCAGGAATTGAAAGGGGGACATTACTACTAACCTTACAGAAATAAAAAGGATCATTAGGAAAACTATGAAGCCGGGCTCAGTGGCTCAGCCTGTAATCCCGCGCCTTTGGGAGGCTGAGGTGA